TCAGCCATTATTTCTTCAGACATTTTTTCTCCTTTCTTTTTTTCCTCTTTTTCTGATGCTGCCTTTACACATATATTGATTGGTATGTGTTATTTTATACCAGAGGTCTCTAAGACTCTGTTCATTTTTCTGCAATCATTTTTCCTCTTTGTCCTTTCTATTGGGTAATTTCTAATTCTCTAATTTCAAGTTCATGGATTTTTTAGTGACGTCTCAGACATTCTCTTGAGTCCATAGCAAATCTTTCATTTTTGTTATTACACTTTCCAACTCTAGTTAATTTTTGTTTTAAAAGTTAGTATTTCTTTATTAAAATTCCCTAGTTGTTGTGTAATTGTCATGTTTTTCTTTTATTTTTCTGTAATTTAAAAAATATGATTTCTTTTAATTCTTTGAACTTAATTATAATAGCTTTGTATTCTTTGTCTGCTAAATCTAAGCGCTGTGTCCACCCAGACTTAATTACTATTGACTGCCTTTTTTTTTTTTTTTAATACCTGAGTACCAGTTAACTTACCTGTTGTTTGCTATCTCACAATTTTTTTTTTTAATTGGACATTCTAAGTAATATAGCAGCTCTGGGATTTTTTTTTTTTTAAACCTCCTGAAAGTGGTTGTTTTGGGGTTGGTTTTTTGTTGGTTTGTTTTGTTTTTGGTAACTTATATAGATATAATCTGTAGAATCGTTCTCTCCAACAGAAGCCCTGGAATTCTACATTAAAATTTTAATTCTCATTTTCATTTTTTATCCTGACTTCATAGGGATCGACCCTTTGTCTGCACAGCTTAGTGATCAGCCAGTTATTGCTTAGAGATTGTTGTTTAACATCTTGAATTTATAAGACTTCCATCATTTTTTCCAATGATTCCATTTGTGGGTTGGGGAGTACATTGAAAATTCAGACAGTTTTCAAGTTGGCCTCAGCTTTTACTTTCTCTGAGGCCTTCTTGGGCCTCCCCTGCATGTGTGCACAGCCTGTCAGTCAGCCAGAGCTGTGTGGGGAGCTTATGTAGGCCCTCTGTGTCTCTCTCATTTCTAGGATCTCCCTGTTAAATTTCTGGGTGTCCTGCCAGACTGTCATTTTCCCCAGCTGGGACTGCAGTCTCATTGCAGCAGAGCTACGGGCTTTTCCCTTTTGTTTCCTATTAAATTTGCTATTTTTATTGCCAGTGCCATCGCACATGGGTTTCTGCATTGCTCTCTGTCCTAAATGATGATAGGCCCTCTAGAAGCAAAATTCTGTGCCCTCATAAAGCTATCTCACTGATTGAATTGGGTGGTGGGAGGGGGCTGGTAGCATCCCCTGGCAAGAGGCTACTTTCCTCCATTGTCCTAACTGTAATATCTGGCAGTTACCATTTTCATGAATATCATTTCATGAATAAATGCTGAATATCATTTTCATGAATAAATGCTTCTCAATTTGTTCTTTCCCTTAATTGATTTCCAGAGCCCTGAAATGGTTGTTTTCTACGATGTAGTTCAGTTGTAGGTATTTTGGAGGAGTGGATTTGGTGATCTCTTCATTCCACTATAGCTGGAAATCTCTCCTCTTTTTAAACTTTCCTAACCCCTTATTACCTTGTGCCCCCTGCACCCGATTTAATACAATCTAGTCATGTGTTTTTTTCCACTGTTATACTAAAACCATTCTTGTAAGAGTCACCTACATCCTGCATTTGCCATATCAATTGTCATTTTTCTATTTTTATTTTAGTCTCTCAACAGCTTTTGACATAAATGGTCACTCACTTTTTCTGAAAACTTTTTTTAACTTGGCTTGTAGGATAACATTCTCTCCTGTTTTTCTTCCTGCTCCATTAACTACTCTACTTTATTCACTTTTTAAAATTTCATGCATATTTTTTTCCTGTATGAACTTCTTCCCTAGGTGATACCATCAGGTCCCCTTGCTTTAAATTTCCTTCTTTCAGATGACCCCCAAATGCATTTTTTCCAGTCCCAGCTTCTACCCTGAACCATTCGTGGATGTCTAATAAAGTTTTCAAACTTAATAGATAGAAAACAGAACTCTTGATCTATTAATACTTTCCCCTTCAAATTTATTCTCTTCAACTTTTATTTTCATTTATTTTTTAAATTTCAGAATATTATGGGGGTACAAACACTTTGGTTACATATATTGCGTTTGCACCACCCAAGTCAGAACCATGTGTGCCCATCCCCCAGACACCAAGCTGTACCCATTAGGTGCGAATTTACCCATCCCCTCTTACCCCCTCCCACCTACTGGACACCTGATTAATGTTACTTCCATTTGTGCACATAAGTGTTGATCAGTTAGTACCAATTTAATGATACATGTGGTGCTTGTTTTTCCATTCTTGTGATACTTCACTTTGAAGAATGGGCTCCAGCTCCATTCAGGATAATATTAAGAGGTATTAGTTCACCATTGTTTTTTATGGCTGAGTAGAACTCCATGGTATACATATACCACATTTTATTAATCTACTCATGTATTGATGGATACTTGAGTTGTTTCCACATCTTTGCAATTTTTAGAATGCTCTTTTGAAAGGTAAATCTGATTATGTCACTCTCCTGGTCCAAACCTCCATTGACTTCCCTTTACGTTTAGAGTGAAATTCAGTTTCTTACCATGATTGATGAGAGTTTATGTGATATTGCCCCTGCCTACCTCTTTGAACTTAGCTACTGTCTCTCTCCCCCTACTTGGAACGATGCACCCACATTATTATTCTGGCCATTTCTTGAATATGCCAAGCCCACCTCTAGGTTTTTATATTTGCTACTCTCTGTAACCACAGTGCTCTTCTGTTAGATCTTCACATGGTTCTCACCTTCGTATTGTTCAGGTTTGTGTTCATGTCTTACCTCCTTCATGAAGTCTTCTCTGATTTCCCTACCTGAAACGTAGCCCTTTCTCTCTATTATGTTCTGTCTTCTGACTCTACGTGAAAATAGATTGTTTATTTATTCTTCCTTCTCCTTTATTGACTAAGTTTCATGAGAGTAAGAATTTTGTTAGTTTTAGACATTGCCATATCCTTAACACTGAACAGTGTGTGGCACAAAATAGGTATACTATTAATATATTTATGGAATAACATTGTTTCCTATAGAGTTAGCATGTTATTAGTCAACTAATAAAGAATAACTCAATAAAAATGGCTAGTTTGGGATAGTTGTGTACTTAAAGACATCTCAAGCATGAAACTTTGTGTAACATTGCCTTGATTAATACTTATAAAATTGTTCTATGAAATTTATATTTTGGGTCTTTTAGGGAATTTTAAAGTGAGAAAATGTAAGCTTCCTTTCCAAAGTAATAAAATATGAACAGAAGAGTAAATGTAAATGAATATTTAGGTCCTTGTACTTGCTTCACTTATGCATTCCTTTTGATCAAAGGAATCTTACACAACTTCTTTTATCTGGGAATTCAATAGCACTCTGTTACCTTGGTTAATGAGTCTGGAAAAAGAGATAACTTATTTTAGCATAGTTAGCTGTATTAAAAACAGTCAATCTTATAATAGCTATGTATCATGAGAGGAATGAGTCTTGGCTAACTTACTAGCAATTCTCCTGCGAAGATAGCTACCTAAACATGAATTGGCAAGGTATGGAAATACTTGGAGAAATAGCTTCAATCTGGAATGGAATTGGACACAGTTTTGAAATTGATGAAATTTTCTGTGTCTTTCTCTCTGCAGAGTCAAACGTCAGTACAGCAGTTATTTTTGTTAAAGCAGTTATACTGTTTTTCTTTCTGTTTACTCATTTACTAGCATTTTGTAACAAATAATGGAATGAAAGATTGGTGCCTTATAAAAGTATTTTACGTATCACTGTATATATAAGCCCAGCTTTGAAGGTCAGTTTAAAGGAATAGTTACTTCTGTGTTCATCTTCTAAGAGCTAGAGGCCACCCTGCTGTAGTATAGTTTTGTTTATCTACTTCCTTGGCCCCTATGCATCTTCCCTCCTTTTTGGCCTCTTTTCTAACCATAACACCGTTTCCTTTCCAGATTCCCAGGTATACATTTTACATTTTGTAGCTCTTCTAAATCATCACTTCAACTAAAACTTTATTTTCTGGCCACCTAAGCTGGTATTTTTATGTTCTTTCTGTGTGATATAATTTTATTAACTGGATTTTTGGCAGCCAAGTATATTGTTGGAATATATACTCTTTGTTAATATACAATCTATTTAAATTTACTACTCCAAAGTCTATGGTGTTAAGAAATCATCGTATTATTTAGTTGTTTTTTTTTTCCCATGAAGAATGGACATAATTGAAACGTACCAAAGGGAAAATTATTTGTGTGGTCTACACATCTATCAGGATTGTACAGTTTCTAGTGTGCTGTATTGTAACTCTTTCTAAAACTTAGTAACTAAGCTCTTTCCATGGAATTAATGCTGGTTTTTTGCCATTGCATTTGAGAAAACAATAGGATTGAAAGAGCTTTCTTTAACTCCAAATTGATTTATTTGGTGAGAAGTTTGATTTTTTTTTTTTTATTACAGTTGTGAAAACATATACTAGTAACAGGTCATTTCAGATCTCTTACTTACTATGTACCAGTGCTTTTTAAGCTATTTGTGGTAAAGTACCAGTTTTAACAATTTCCAGTTCATCAAAGACTATTATTTTTGTGAAATACAATGCAAATGAATTGTTAGAAAAGTGAAGTTTTAAAAAACACAAAATATGGGTCCCAATTCTTATCATATTCACAGATAAAAATTTATTTTGTCAAATTGCTATAAAAGATTCTCAACACTCTAAATTTCTGTATTTATCTTATTGCAGAGCAGTAACAACAAATAGGTCATCACCTAGTAACAAATAGCTTACAGATCAGTACCAGTTTACAAATTATACTTTTTAGTAGCATATCTATAGCCTGTGTTTGTAGTGTTTAATGTTATTCAAAAGAATGTTGGTCAAGATGATGAATAGCTGTTATCCTTTAAAAAATATTTTCATGTCTTTCCTTTTCAGAACCGAGAGCTCCAGATCATGAGAAAGCTAGATCACTGTAACATAGTCCGATTGCGTTATTTCTTCTACTCGAGTGGTGAGAAGGTAGGTTTGACAGAATGTATGTTTTGAATATTATGACAAACTTGTTATTCTTGTAGAAATTAATCTCCCCTTCCCTCATGAGACAGTTTTGCTAATTGAATGGAGGAATTCCAAAGGCCCATGTTGATTCTGAGCCCAAGATAGGGTCATTGTATGTCATCAGTTTTATCTGGAAAATGTTAATGAGAGGATGAAGAGATTGAATTTTGAAGAATTTTCTTCTTTTTAAAATACGTGTCTTCAGTTCTCAAGCAAATTTGTATATTTTTATTAAGACTTCTATGTTCACTGTGTGTTTATGGAGCCCTCTGATAGTTAACCTATTTGAGGGAGGAAAATTATGTCATTTTGTTAAGTTAATTAGAGGGGAAAGGAAGCAGGAGGACTTTGGTAGGACTAGAATGAGGGTTAAACATGGGAAAGCAAGTTTAATCTGTCCTTGGCTAGGGAAAAAGAAAGATACAGTATTACAGAGCTTATTATAATTGATGACTATTTCTGATCACATTGAATTTTGTGAACACAATGATAATTTAAGAAGATTCTGTGCTGTGAATCCTGCCCCCCATCTTTCTCTTTAGAAGATGCAATAACTAACAGTTGTAAGCAAACAAAATCAGTTTCTCCTGCTTTACCTTGGTCTTTTTCTTTCTGCCTGTCACTGTCCCCTATTCCCATATTTAATCTTTTCTTACATTTTTCTTTCCTTCATTGGTTTGGGATAAACAGGGCAGAGAACCACTTGATTTTTTTTTTTCTTGCCTAAATAAATATAACTTTGGATAAGTTCATTTGGTATTTTGGACTTCAGATTTTGTGCATATAATATATGATGTTCTTAGATCTATAATGCCTCTTGATTTCTAGTCCAGTATTCTTATTTCATATAACTCTTTCCTAATATAATAATTTTTAATCATTTTTCATTAAGCTTTATTTAGATTTTCTCCTTAAAAGTTTTTTTTTTTTTCCATGACAGAGCCTATAATATGGGAGGATACCTAGTATTAAGCCAGGATTGTATATACATGCCCACACATATTGTGTATATACATGTGTGTCATAGCTAATATGTTTTAATAGTCATAGTTAGCAAAGTGGCCCTTTATTGATACTTGTTTCTCAGTTGTTTTTTTTTTTTTTTTAAGTTTAAATGATGCCTCTGCTTTATTAGGGATTGTAAACCTCATAAGTATTTGAACTCTTTTATTTCTAAACCCAATTACTTTGTTCATGCTACTTTTTTTTCTTTTAACCTACCAAACTGCCTATTTTTATGTTTAATCTTACCTGTTTTGGCATGTCTTTACTTTTTCCTGTCCCTTCCTAAATAAAATTATGCAACATCTGTTATGTTCATAGCACTCTTATAATGGAATTTTGCATCTTCATGGTTTTTTGTTACTAGATGCCAGGCCTCATGATACCCCTGGGTCAGAATTATTTGTTCCATGAACCACTAGATATAGATTCATTTGAAAGAGCCTCCTTACAAAGTTCCTAAACATTTTCTCTTGATTACTTGTTTTAATTTATGTAGCATTCCCTATAAACCAGGCAATGCTTTACAAATGTTAACTAATTTTACTTTTATGAAGTTAAAGAGCAGAAAGGGAAGAATGTCAGACCTTTTGAATGCAAAGCACCTTATGTCTTATCTATCTGGTTTTGGTTTGGTGGGAAGTACCCACCATAGTTAGCCCTTACCTGACTTAATCCTGTTTTGAGGGGTGGTAACAAAGTGACTGGCTGTTATCATTTGTGTGCCCTAGAGTATAATTTCCTCCCTGCTGCTGCTCTTAGCTTCCTATTTATCTTAAATGTTCTTACAGATAAAGAACAACCAGAAGTCATTAACAGAGGTTAACTAAAAGGAGAGTGAACCTTTGTCTGTGGTAAAAAGAAATATACTTGCTAATATTTTATTTATCTCATAACTTTCTCTTGAGCATCACAAATTTTCCAAAGGACACCTATTAATTTTGGGGTATCTTCATTAAAAACAAAGCAAAAACAAGGAAGAAAGAAAGGGAGGGAGGGAGGAAGGAAAGAAAGAGGGAAGGAGTGTATTATTGAAAATAATAGTCCTTCTTTGTCAAAAAAGGGAGAGTTTTCTAAAGATATGCAGAAATACAGAGGTTCAAGACTTCCCATAAACTTCTAGCCACCAAACAGATAACTTCTTACTGCCCTACTCATGATCTTCAGTTCTTCTGAATTGTTCTGGTGGCACTAGCATCATTCAAGAGACCAAGTAGTAAACTATTAATAATTCTTCTCGTGGGAGACGATGGGTTCTGCTCTAGGGTTGAAAGCTTAGGTTAGTTATTATCAGTTCTGACACTTTAGGAATAGGTTACTGAGAGAAAGAGATCTAAATGTCTGTGAAATTCTTAACAAATTCTTAACGCATTAACTGCCATGTGAATTGTATTTATGAAACATATGTAACTAACGTCTCTTCACCTTGGGAACCACAAGAACTATATTTCAAGTTGCATATAACTCACAGAAAACAATAAAAAATAACAAATTTTTTATTAAATTAGAAAGTATCATTTTGTTTTTGAAGTTTTTATTCCATTTTCATCATAAAACACTGTGGCCCCAAGGAAAATTTTTTTCTAGTGTGGCAGTCAGTGCGTTAAAGATGATTCATCTCTGAATGTGGCAGTCCTACATTTGGTAGGCATTTTTCTAGCAGAAGCATTATGTATTGCTTATGTGTATATGCAAGAAGAGTTTTGGAGGAAGAAATAATACATTAATAATTTGACATGCCTGTGAGACATGCAAGTAGAGATTACCAGTAGACAGGCACATGTATGACTTCATGGCAGGAGAGGCTCTAAGTGGAGAGATGACATTGACAAGGTGGGACAGGGAGGGTATATAGCCAATGTGAGGTTTTGGGGAGGAAGGAGATATGGAGTGTTGTCTGAGAACAGACAGCTTTCACCGCAGTTTGACAGTATTTATTGCCTTCTCTGCGTAGAATTTGTTGAGGGGTGAGAGCAGTCTTCATTTGAGAGAACTGCAAGGAAACCAGTGCCTTTGGGTGAGATCCAGGTTTTGTCTAGGGCAAGGCAGTAAAAAGAACCCTTCATTGAGGTTATCTGGAAGTTTCTTTTTGAAGTTTCCGAGAACACAGGGAAAGCTTTGGGAAGGGAGATCAGTGATAAGAACATGAGCCTAAAGGAAGCTTGAGGAGGCAATTTGAGGGATGAGTTGAGGGCACTGTGAAGATGAGAAAGAATAAGAATTCAGTGTTTCAAGATTAGAGAGATGAAAGACTTGGTCAGGTTCCAGGATAGATGAGTTCAAATGTATTAATGCTTGGGAATTTTTTGTAAGTCCTCCCATTCTCTGAATCTCTTTCCTTCTCTATCATTTTCTTTTTTTTAATTTAAGACCTTTATTAACAAGTGCTTGCAGTTTGTTGACTTTTTTGAAAAAAATCAAGTTGTAAACTTTTATTACAAATTAAAAATGAAGTTCTTAAAAATCTCAACTTGACCAGTATGAAACAATTTAAAAACCTTTAAAGGCATATTGAGAAAGACCAGGATTTTTTAAAAAACACGGTTGTTATTACCAAAAAAGACATCTTTAGGTAAAAATAATAAAAACCTCATGCTGGCTCACGCCTGTAATCCTAGCACTCTGGGAGGCTGAGACGGGCAGATTGTTTGAGCTCAGGAGTTCAAGACCAACCTGAGCAAGAGCAAGACCCCGTTTCTACTAAAAATAGAAAGAAATGATCTGGAGAACTAAAAATATATAGAAAAAAATTAGCCGGGCATGGTGGCGCATGCCTGTAGTCCCAGCGACTCGGGAGGCTGAGGCAGTAGGATCGCTTGAGCCCAGGAGTTTGAGGCTGCTATGAGCTAGGCTGACGCCACGGCACTCACTCTAGCCAGGGTAACAGAGTGAGACTCTGTCTCAAAAAAAAAAAAAAAAAACACCTCATGCTGCATAGATAATGCAGATAGTTCTAGTTATCTGGTCAACAGGCAAAAAGCAAACACTTAAGGTCTTCAGCTCCAATCTTTCGTTCATTTCTTATTGCTGGAATTTCATATTCATTTCTTCTTGTTGGATGACTAAACCGGACGATGGTAGAGACGGTAAGCCGGCGTTTGCTCAGCCCCACCCTGCTCAGCCTCGGGAGCGGACGAATTCTCAGCTGGTGGATCGGCTGCTTTTGTCTCTTTGCCATCTTGTGGTTTAGGGTTTTCTGGGCGTTTGCGTCGGTAAGTGAAATTACGGCGGTACCGACGTTGAGGCGGCTGCTGACCGGCTGCTGACGTTGGGTCTCATCTCCTTGATTCTCTTTATCCTCTTCATTGCCGTCCTCTCTGGGCTATCTTTGGCGAGGAGGGCCCCTGTGGAATCGTGGTCTATAACCCCGATACATATTCTGTCTTACTGGTGGTCTACCTTGTTCTCCGGCACCCTGGTTGTCAGCACCCTCCATCACCGCTCCCTGTACAGAAGGGTTGGAATACTGTGGTCCACGCCCACAGGGTCTCGCATGTAGTAAGGTGGGAACCTTCGCCTGCGGTAGGGCCGGCGTTGCTGGGCCTGGCCTTCAGGAGCGCTCTCCGATCCCTCATTCTTTTCCCCACTCTCACTGTTCTGGTAATTCTGCTGGTAATTGCGTGGAGGACCCCTGCGACGTGGATAGCGTCTGTGATGGGTACGGTCTGCTGCATATTTACTGCCTTGAACTGGAATTTCACCAGGGCCTGTAACATTTGCTGCCTCCGCACCCTTTTCTCCTTCAGCAACATCAAACTCCACAGTCTCTCTGTCTCCTACACTGCGAAGGTACTTCCTGGGGTTATTCTTCCTGGCAGTCTGGTGTACAAATACATCTTCCTTGGTGTCATTCCTGTTGATGAAACCATATCCGTTTCTTACATTGAACCATTTTACTGTCCCCAAAACCTTCCTTGCGATGACCTTCTTGTCCCTGCCGGCAGGTGCCACCGATGTGA